AAATCCATCGTTAGAGAGATAATTAAGGAACTGCGGATTCTTTGGAAGACCTGTCCCAAATCCAGTGGAGATTCGAAGATTCGATTCAATGATGTAAGGTACGCTTCCGTGTTTATGTTTCTGTATAATTCTCGTTGATTCAAGCATGTTGGTTCTTGGGAATTCGTATGTATATACGATAAATTTCTAACATTTTGTACGCCCTAATTGAACACTTCCTTCATCTCCCATGCACCCAGTTCATCTTCCCTCTTCCACACCGCTGCCACCGCCGCTACAACACTTCGCCGCGGACTCCAAAGGAATCCGCCATCGCCGTCTCCGTCGCGGCCGACGACATCAGCCATTATTCAGCCAAAGCCGACGGCACAACCATCGCCCAATCCCCCCTATATATCCCGCTCATCCTCCCTCTTCCAGACCACCGCCGCTTCTTACTCCGCAGCAATCTGCCGCCACCGTCGCAGCCGACAACATAAACAACTATTGAGACAAAGCCGAGCCACCACCCAAGTCCCTCTTCTCTCACTCTTCCAAATCGCCGCTACCGCCGCTGCACTTAGCCGTCGACACTGGTGCAATCAGCCATTTGTTCTGTCGTTCACCAAATTTGTAGAGTGTAAGTACTGAAACTCAATTTTACTTTACTTTTAATTTTTTGTGTTTCTATATGTCGTAACTTACTTTGAAGAAATCTAGGCTATATTTTTACTGTTAAATATGTGAAATAAAAGTTTTGAGAATCGAAATTGGAATCAATAGCTATTTGATTGAGGTGGGAATTGGAATTAACTGGGATGTGTTTGTTTTGAGGTGTGTGCCTGTATGTTTAAATATGCATTTTAGTAGGAATTTTGTTTTGTGGTGTGTGTGTCTGTATGTTTTAATATGTTTAAATATGCATTTTTCCAAAATAAATATGCATTTTAGTGGAAAGTTCATATGCTATAATTCTTCCAAAAATAGAAGGACAAGAGTCAATCAGAAACAAAATCCAAATACACAAAATAATTAGTCATTGTTTTAGCAAAATTGCTACCAACGGTTAAGAAAATAATGAAAGGTTATAATTGTGCTTATGCGGCATTTTGAACATAATTATTCAAAGAGAGACGAATGAGGTTTTTTAACTCTCTCATTACCATCTATGTTCTTCAGTTGCATATATTTTCTAAATAAAAGTGTCGAAAGATAGGAGTTGGGTTTTGCTAGATGATCATCGGTTGGAAGCATATCAAAATGGTTTAGAATTTCTAGAATTTGCTTTCGATAAGGCGGCGATTGATGATAAAATAAGGTGTCTATGTAGAGACTGTGCAAGTGTCGAAAAGTCGGGGACCGTGAACACGTTCATGGGCATCTATGAATGAGTCAGGGAGTGATGGGAAGGTAAAATTTTATTTTTAATTAATTTATATTATTATATGATTTATGCATTGCATCAAAATATAGTAACTTATTTGGTAGTATTACTAGTCCAAATCTCAAAAATGTCACGAAGCACGAATATCAATTACAACCGACCACTATTGGGGTCGAACTAGTATCATTGGTAGGTCTCATAAACATGTAAGTGATCATGTATAAGTGCGATTGTATATATTTTAAGAGTTATTATAAGGGTCTAATTACTTTTATATAATGTTACTACAAGATCAGAATTTGGCAAAGTTCCTTCGGTTGCAGCTAAATCCAGAAAATGCTATATGAGCATCGATGCCTTGAAGGAATTGGAGCCTTTCACTGAACTACGTGCCATTGCAGTAAGTTATTACTTTAGATGAATCGATGCTTTATTTTCTACTTGAACATGTTTGGGTTGTATATTGTAGTTGGTGGATCTTTAGTTGAATTATGGATTTATTGGGTACTCAAATATATTTGAATTGTGCAATGTAGTTGGTGAATAATTGAGCAGCTATATGTATTTTGGGTTCTCTAATGTAGTTTATGCATATTTTTGTTGAATTGTTGCTTTGTTTCATACTTTAGCATTTGTTAGTTGTGTTAGTAGTTGGTCGATCTTTTATATGAATTATTGTGTTTTTTTCTACTTGAACATCTTTGGGTTGAGCAATGTAATTGGGGGATTTTTATTTGGATTATTGTTTTATTATATACTCCGTATCAAATAGGTCATGTTAATGCAGCTTTTGATATTACTCGGGCGAATTTGACAGAGTCTATCAAGAATGTATGAATGAGAGTCTATCAAGAATATATGAATCATGGGAGGGATGAAAGCATCGCTAACACGATAGCTGGCGAACGAGTATTGGGAAAAACTAAAAGACTTGGAATTGGTTGCTCAAGTTAAAAGAAAAGGGGAAGATCCAACTTGTCTTCTACTGGTAGAGATGAAGAAATAGGAGTTTTAAAAGAAAATAAAAAGACGGACATTTTAGGGCCCAAGGTGTCGAGTCCATCCCAGAACCCATCCAGCGAAAGTAACTAGTTTCCTCGACAACATTAGTGTTGGGTACTTTTACTTCATGTGTGAATGATTTAAGTTTTTATTTGGTTATTTTGTGCTTAGATGATTTTGTGTTTTAGAATGTTTGGATGGTTTTGTATTTTGAAAGAACGTTTTGGATGATTTAATTTAAGAGATTTGTTTAATATTTTGTGTATTTAGTTTTATTGGTATTGTTTATAATTACAGGTAAATTAAGAATTAAAAATAAAAATAAGAAAATATTATAAATATATATAAATTTGCGACGTTTATAAATACATATTGCGACTTTTTCAATATTCCCGTCGCATGGTCACAATAGTTAATTGCGACGATATGGCAATATTCGTCAATATTATAACAAAAGTCTGCGACAATTAGTAAGAAATCGACGCAAAGAGAAACATTGCGACGAATTATGTTCGAAAAATATAGTCGCAATACGACGATAAATATGCGTTGCGGTTGGAGGACGAATATAGCGACTGTTTGTAAATTTCGTCGCAAAATATCAGAAAACGAAAAAAAAATACAAATTTGCGACGTTTACGCGCAATCGTCGCATAAGGTTGCGACATTTTGGTAGATTCGTCGCAATAGTTTACGACGGACACTTTTTTTACTTTTTTTCCGGCCCGCTTCGTCGCAAAAAAAAACATTGCAAATTTTAATTGTTCGTCGCAAATAAGGTAATTTCGTCACAAAAAAATGTCGCCTGAAATGCAATTTGGCGTAGTGATAAATTCACCCAGTATAAATTAAATAACCAGATGCCGCATCTAAGTAACCCCGAATGATTGACTATGATATTAAAAAAAAAAGTTTACTAATTAACCATAATGAAATTACTTGATGTTGAATTATTTGTAATGAATTACATAACAAAAGAAGAATTCACCTCTTCTTTAACCCCAAAAATAAAAAATAAAAATAAAAAAAGGGCCTTAATTATTAATTAAAATGGGTACAAAGCCTTAATCCCATCAACATCATCTTGCCCCAAACCCTTCCTGGAATTAGGGCCAATGTAAGGATACATAACAGCACCAACATCACCTGTATGCATTAGCCCTAGAATATGTCCCATCTCATGCAGCCCCACCGTCTGCATATCGAACTGCCCTTCGTAAACACCGTCGCACCATTTCTCGTCTCCATCCATATGCAGCCTCCCGTCCGTGGGCGCGAACGCATGCGCCAAGATTCCGAGGGGCCCGTCGAACGGATTCCCGTCTCCGTGGTCCCGCACCTGAAAACTGATCTTCACATCGGCATTGGCGTAGTCGTCGATGTACGTAAAACCAAACGCGGAATTGGCTCCCCAAATGTCGGTGGCGGCCAACAAGCAACGGTTTATGTCGGGCCGAGTCCCCGGTGGGAAAGAATACGTGAGGCTTCTCTTTCCCGCGGGCCACACGGGCTTTCCCGGAAAGAAAGTGTAGCGCGAGGCTATTATTGGCATTTTGCTCTGGAGTAGGGTTTTGTTGAGGACCGCGAAATTATCTGCTACGCCGCACCGAGGCTCCATGATTTGCTTTACGGTGTCCCCGTCGAGCATGCCGGTGACTTTGAGCTTGAAGAAGCTCTGGTAGGCTCGTATGGCGAGTTCTAGGTTCTCGTCGAACGAGTCGTCGTTCGCTCCGGGGGGCGGTTTTTTAATACCTTCGATGTTCATGTATCCGAGGTTCGAGAGGTAGCTCTTGAGGTGGGAAAGGCCTTTTGCCGTGGTCCCTTTTCGGATTCCGACCAAGTTCTTGAGGTAATCTAGGGTTTGTGGGGTTTGGTTGGTTTCTTTTTGATGAGGTGGATGTGCTTGAGCATTGATCAGAAGAATGATGAAAAATGCGATGCATGAGAGAGAGTGAAAACTATACTTTGGCTCCATGATCAAAGAATTTGGTGATTGTGACTTGTTTGATGAAGATTTATATCTAGTTAACCCCTATTTATAGCGTTTGTGGTAAATTCATTTTTATTATTTTTGCCTTTTTTTTAGATGCATTTTTAAATTGCATGAGTAATCTCTTGTTGGATTGTTGTAATCCATGCTCATGTGATTGGTTTATTACAAGGATATTGTAATTTGTTTTGTGTATATAGCATTAGATTTTAGAAATCTGTAATGTTATTACAGTGATTCTTGAAATTAGATTTCAGATTACAGTGATTCTTGGAATTGAGTCACAGAGTTGTACACGTGTATCAATATGTATAATTAGAGTTTGGAGATTTCAAATTATATAGGATTTAATTATTCCTGAATTTTTCAAACTTGAAAATTGATTTAATTTTGGTTGAATTATATATATATATATATATATATATATATATATATATATATATATATATATATATATATATAGGGTTTAAATATTCCTCAACATTTTCAAATTTCTATTATTTCTTGCATTTCAAAATAATCAGATTTATTGATTAACCGCACCAGAAAATCACCTATTAATATGAACAAAGATTCAAGAAAGTCTATTTTAAATAAAAAAAAAAATTATCCATCATTATGATTAAAAAAAAAGGGGCTAATTAATCAGGATGGATAGATAGATTTGATTCCATGAATATCATCTTGAGTCAAATCTTTGTTCTCTCCTTCACCAATATAAGCATACATTATAGATTTTTCATCTTGGCTATGTGCAAGCCCTAAAATGTGCCCTAATTCATGTAATGCAACGGTTCCCAAATAAAACGACCCCGCCTCGGCAAAAGGCTTCCAATTCTCCTCCGCATCGAAGTGGAGCCTCCCATCCGTTGGGTAAAACGAGTGCCCCAAAACTCCGTAGGGCCCGTCAAACGGATATCCATCTCCATGGTCCCTTGTCTCGAAACTAATCTTCACATCAGAATTTTCAAAATCGTCCGTGAAAGTAAAGTTAAAAGGGGATACGCTAACCCATTTTATTAGAGCTTTGACTATAGGGGTATAAGCGTCTTTTCTAGTGTCTTTCGGGAGTGAATACGTGAGGTTTCTTTTGTTTGGCGGCCATGAATATCCGGATAAGTTATAGTACGAACGGAACGGGGTTCGGTTGGTAGTAAGAAGATCGGCCACCCCACAACGGGGTTTCAGCATTAGGGTTACGGTTTCTGGATCGAGAAAACCCGTGATTTTGATGTTGTAGAATTCTTGGTACTTTTTGATGGCCAATTCTAATGTGTCATCAAAGAAGTCATCATACTTGTTGGTTGGGATTTTGGAATTAATGTAGCCAAGATTTTTGAGGTACTCCTTTAGTTTATTTAGGCCTTTTGATTTGTCTCCTTTGTGGGTTCCACTCAAAGCCTTTAGATAATCAAGGGGTGTGTTTGGTAAATGGGATTGGCAAATTATTGTTGAACAAGAAAGGGAAAAGATTGTTATTAGTAGCAAAGTGTATGAACAAGAAAGATGGTGAAATTTGGGAACCATTTTTATATATGAGTTCTTGGTTTTGTGAAATGGCTTCGAATTTATTTCGAAGTTTGAGGTCCTTTTATACGCAGTCAGTTGTTATACGATTGACCATATCCGTGATAATATCGTAATCGTGATAGGATCGTAATGTAATGTTAGGTTATTGTGATTTATAAACAAGTGTTAGTGTATATGATAAGCCTTTATGAAATTGATTAAATTGAGTAGGATTAGTTGCAATAACATAATATGAGATTATTTCATATTTGGTAGGTATGTTGGAGTGTATCTTATTCTTTCTATTCTTTAATATTTGTAATCTATTGTTTAAGAATAAAAATTATGAATTATTATTTATGAAATATACAAATAGTCCTAATTTTTAGTTAGTTGTTAGCATCGCTTGTTAAAATATGGGACACATGTATACGGCAATAATTCAATTTAATAGGGTCAAAGAAAAAGAAAAATTGGGATAGGGATTGAATTTTGACTGTTGACTGTTGTGTATCAAATATAATCAGAGTTTTTACACAAGGACCCTCACCATTAAAATTATTTCACAAAAGGACCCTTTTCTTTTTCTTTCGTTCAAAAAAACACATCAGACTACATAACTAACTCGCAGGTCAGTCAAAACAGATTCACTAATAAAGCCAAAGATGCTCTTCTTCATTTCATCACTACATAATAATAAATAAATAAATAAATAGAATTGAATTCCAATACTTGAGACGACAATAGTTAACCTCTAACCTATTACACAGACGACCGGAGGCGAAACGGATATTCGACAATTCGACAGATTCTTATATAATAAATTCTAAAATGAATATATATTCTCAAACTATCATTTGAGATATAAATTATAACCTATGAGGATCTACCTACTATGACACATATGCACAACCCTTTTCCGTTTCTGCCCCCCGCAGTTCAACACAAACGCCACGCGATTTCTTCTACATATTTACGCAGGCTATACATATTTAAATATTTTTTGTAAAAAAAAATAAAAAATATATATTTATCTATGATGACTGTACGTTATCAAATACCGGAGGAGGTGGAGGAGGAGGATGCTGAATGAGATGCAGCTAGAAGTGATGCTCCGATGCCCGAACCATCTTCAGTCGCCTTAATTATTACATGAGACGCCACGTCATCGCCCAATATTTGCACCATTGCTTCGTTTAGATACTCTCTGAACATTGTGTAGTTTGTATACAAACCCCCCTCAACAGCCACCACCGTTCGTTTCATCTTCATAGAACCACCACCTTTGGATTTAGCATTTGTGATTCCACCGCTTCCATCTCGCCCAATCTTCTTCAGTATTCCCACAATGCCAGCTGCCGCCAGCCTGGCTGCTCGACAGGTCACCACATCACACACCTTCACCACAAGCTTCCGTACATTAAGAGGAACTTCGGAGATCTGAAAACGAATAAGGCATGTGAAACAAATCGGGATAAAATAAACGGGCCAATGATAAAGAAACGGGCCTAGATGGACTAAAAAGCAAGAGAAAGAAATTCACCTCCAAAGTGTCTTGTAATATTCTGCCGACCTCTTCCAGGTTAGGAGAATCATCCTCGTGCATAGCAGCAATCATAGGTGTCCTGAATTTTTTTTTTTACAACCGATATATAAATATCTATATATGTTTGCGTTCGCAGGTGTATCTATATGTATATATACACTTCAAAACGACGTGTAAATTGAGCTAGTTTTTTCAAAGACTAGTACCTCAAGATGAAGGGCACATGTAATTTGGAAGAAATTAGTCCGAAAACATCGGACTCAAGCGACATCCGAAGTATTACTCTTCGCACAATGTCTCCTAGGTACATTCCAGATATCATTTTCTCGAAACCCTGCAGCATTATTCTCATCAGCATAAATTACGAAACCAGAATTTTACATGGAAAAAAAATTAATGAAATGGAAATATAGTGAAGAAAATTGTACACACTTGATCATTTGGGTTAGGACTGTCGGCATCCAAGTCAACATCATATGATGTTCTAGGCAAATGCGACGACCAAAAATTGCCCCATTCCATGTTAACTACCTGATTAGATTCAAGAACAGCATCAAATATTATACCGAAAAGAAAAAAAAACAACTTGAGAAAAATGTATGTGCAATATCAAATAATAAATGTTGCTTAATTAACATGTTGGAAGATACCATGCTTCCGGAAGTTGTAAGAAGGCCTTGGCATTTAATGATGGCATCTGCACGCTCTAAATAGCATGCGTTTGTACCTGTTCCGATAATTACAGCAGCTACTGTGTCTTCATCGTGATAATGACCAAGGGCCAAGGTCCCCACAGTATCATTTATCTGCTCAAAAAAGAATTATATAATAAGAATTTCAAATACATAACAACATTACATTGCATCTCCATCGGGCTAAGTCATGACGAAAAACTGGTATGTATATCTCTATACTTCAAACTTGAGTTGCGAAGCACTTTGTCCAACGTAACAATGTCGTTATCCTCTTATTAAGCAAATAAAATATTAGTATGTACCGAAAGGTCCGAAACAGAAGAAAGAGAGTGCTTACGAGAGCAGTGACTCGCATGTCGAGGCCCTTTCGAGACATTGCCTCCTGTAGGCACTGAGAAACATCTCTACCCACCTGCAAACCAGAGTACCATAATGACTTTTAAGGAATCGGTGAATCAAACGATCAGTTATTTTATGAAACATACATTTTCTAATTTAATTTCTTTCCACAAGTGCCTTGATTGGAAAAAAAAAAAAAAAAAAAAAAAAAAAAAAGAACATACATATATATATATATATATATATATATATATATATATATATATATATATATATATATATATATATATACACTAGAAGAACTGTAACAACAAAAATCATGCAACTAACCATGTCTTCAATCGAGAATCCTTTTGTCCATTTAATTAGAGTTCCCGATGAGGAAGAAATTTGTTTGAACGGGAATGAAAATGTGAAGCCAAGTTCCCTTCTTTCCCCTTGCGAAGGCTCGGGCACATTTTCTTCCTTTTCAACAAAATCCTTTAATGATGTCGCTATAAAATCAAAGAGCTCCTGCAAGTGGAAAGGAGGAAGAGAAAAATATTGGATTTTCTATATCTAAAGCGTTAATAATGCCCAAAACTCAACAATGGACATAATTTAACTACCTCGGTTGTGCTTGTCATCAAATGCTGCGGAATGGGCTTTCGATCGACATCGAGTTCGGTGATAGAAGACCTTTCGCCTCCTAATTTAACCCGTAAGACCCGGAAATTGGTACCACCAAGATCTAGGGCGTAATAAATCCCTTTTTCATTCCTGTAAAAAGGTAAGTTATTATATGCAGCAAGGAAAACATAGGCAATGTTTGGCCCCCTTTTGAGGCTATATTTCCATTTTACGTTTGGCTAAGAAATTTTGGGAAAAAAGTATGTCGGAAGAAGTATATTGGGACACAATTTTCTCTTTTGGGGAAAGAGGGGAACAATATCGAGAAGGGGCCAAACATTCCCTTATCAATTAAAGAACAGGAACCAAGTAAATGAAAACCCTACACAATGAATACAGAGGTTTAAACCGTAATCATGCATCATCAATTTCAACTCGAAATTGAAGATCTTAGCTATCAACCAATCAGAAGACTCAAACGTAGTGTTATAAATTTGGAGAAATGCATTGAATCGAATAAAAATACAACTTTTCATATAAAAATTTAAATATGAAAAGGAACGGAGGATGTATCGAGAATAAGCATATCAACTAAACGAAAGGAAAGGTTAATTATTACACATTATAAGACGATAATATAGATTACACGGTCTTCCTACCAGATACTTCAAATTCATGACATCAGAGAGCTTCAACAAAATCAAGATCACTTACGTAATTAAGAATCGGAAAGCAACTCACTTAAACAACACGAAAGAAGTTTTCATTAAAGACACTTCCCTTAATCACGATAGTAATCATCCACACGTTAGAAAAGGATTAGGGACGCCATTTGGCAAGCCTTAAAGAAACCAACACGTGGATTCCGCCAGCAAATAAATGAAAATTATTCATTTACAAAGAATCGACTTACCAACTGAATTCACGACTCTAACTCAAAACTATAAAACCCTATCGCAGCCTGTCTCGGCTATTGCATGCTGCATGCTGTCTATGAGGGAAAGAAGTCTCCAAGAAAGAAACTCTGTAATCTTGGCGTGATTATCCCGTGTAAGATTCGGATTAAGAACGCAAAAAAAGAAAAATAATAATAATAAACAGCCATTAGCAGAGCTGTCTCATTAATACCCTATAGGGCGTCGTAGGAAACTAACAGGTAGATTCCACCAGAACATTAATTAAAAAGTATCCGTTGTTTGCGAAGAACGAATTTACGTCTGCATTAATGACTAATGCAAGACAGTAAATCCTACTGAGCTGTCATGCAGTGGCACTCCAACTCAGCACATACATCATTTCGTTCGCATACACAGCTTAATCAGAACGGCAACTCTAACGAAAGCAAAATTTGAAATATGTTCGATAATAAACATATCAGATGAACGAAAAGCAGAAACTAACATGAACAAAAAACGAATTCTCGACATTTAGGTCATTAAAACACAAGAATTCGTGAATCGAGCTTTCAATTAAAATTGAACTGACAGAGGAATCGATAACATCAAAGCTCACAGAAACAATCAAATCGAAATTCGTACCCATCATTTTCAAATTCAAATCCAATGCCACCCAAGAAAACGACAGTTAAAATCACACATCAGCATACTCAAGTAAAAAACCTGGAACAAATTAATCAGAAGAAATTAAAACAGAAAAAAATGCAAGAGCTAAGCATCGGGTATTTACCCAGTAGGAAGGTTGTGAATAAAGGTGAGAAGCATCTTAAGCTTAGAGCCGCCCTCAGAAGCCAAGCCGGCGTGCATCTCCACCGCCATAGCATCAACAACCTGGCGGAGCCGCCCCACTGGGGTGGCACAACCCTCCTCCAGTTCCTCCAGAACCCTCAACACCCTCCGCCATCCGCTCCGCCGCCTCACAGTCCTCCCAACCATCACCGCCGCAACCACGCACGCCGCCACCGCACAGCCCGCCGCCAACGCTACCCCCACCTTCCCCATATACGACGCCCTTTTCCCCTTTCAAAATCGTTCTATTTCTATTGCCTTTTTATTCCGAGTAAAACGAAATAAAGAAAAATCAATCAACCATTTCCACCCAAAAAAAAAAAAAATTAATCGTTCCGCCGATCGAGACAAGGCGGCGTTAAAAAAATAAGCCGCGTCGGAGCAACTAAACGACGGGGCGTCTATTCGGTAGTGAAAGTAACTGAAGCGCTCGTTGGATTTTTCAAAGGGCGTCGTCCCGTTGAACGTTTCTCTTTGAAAAATCTTTTCTTTTTTTTTTTTTTTTTCTTTTTGGGACTGTGGAGAAACGAAGAAGAGTTGCTCGAAGAAAAAAGTTTTTTTAGAGAGAGAAAGAGAGGAGAGAGAGAGAGGGAGGGCAATGGTGGTGGGAGTGCTGTGGAAAGCGAAGTGTTGGTTACTTATAACTGGAGTGAAAATGACTGAATTGACCCTGAAGAATGAAGGAATGCCTGATTTGTTCACCTTTTCGATTTAGCGAGGTGGATTCTGGTTTGACCAGTTAGAAAAATCGGAAATTTTCGTAATTTTGGAGAAAAAGGGCGATTTGTGAAATGACGGTTTTGCCACTGGCTTTTTAATTTAAATCATATTACAAATTGAGGAGCATGATTTGAACTCTACACCATGATTATGTCATTATATAAACAATGAAAGAAGAGTATTAACTTAATTTGTTATACAATTATGCACGAAATAAATGTGTCATAAATGTAAAAAAAATTATTTATCATAATATAACAATCATCTTAAACTTCCAACTTTTTCAAAAAAATATTGCATAATCTGCTTTGTATGATATGATTTTAACACTTGACGTAACCAAATTTGGTTTATAGATATTTTTGCCATTGTTTATTGCTATTGTGTTTTATGCATGTCGTATAACTTGCAAGTTGTTTACGAATAAATTATATGTTTTTAGTATGATTCTTTGTGATTTTTTTAATTAAAAATATATTGCATATATATTTAGATTGTGGTTGGAACTTGAAATCTGATCCTACAAAATTAATTAAGCTTGCAAATTTAAATTATCCAATATTTTTTTATTTTTTTTTATATTTGTAAAGGCCGCTTGAATAAAACCACAAAGAGGGGGACCAATGAGGCATAACGCAGAAAGAGAAGGACAAAATCGACATTACAGAGAAACACGGTGCGCGAGTGTGTCTACTGTCTACACTTTAGCTTTGATCCTCATCAGACAAAGATTTTTATTAACTTAATTTTTTTCGGTCTAGAGAGAGAAACTATATATTATATTATATATATATAATATATATGTGTATTTAAGGAATAATATATAAAAGTAAAATATTAATATATAGAAATTGAATTTAAATAAATAAAAAGAATGAGTGTGCAAAGAAAGAATTGAAGAAGCAAACGGCGACTGAGTAGCTGCGTATCCCCGTACATTGTGCCAGCTGTGATCCGCTAATTCCAGCTGTGCATCAAATAAAGCAATTTTCCCACCATATAATATCGTACGTTTCCTTATCACCACCAATCATAATTATTTTTTTCCCTTTTTTTTATTGGAATTTAGATCTTTTTTTCATTTTCATTTATTTGAGTCATCACTTCTCATTTTACTTCTTTTCTATTCGGCTTTTTTTATTTATTATTATTATTATTATTTGATTTATGCATCCTTGAATAATATACGTATACATACATATACAATTACTTACATATACGTATAAAAATACTTAATTTGGCATGAAAGTTCGATTTTTAACTATTTTATTTAATTATAATATATATCAAAATAATTTAGAAAACGAGTACAATTGAAGATATGATCAAGAATGGAAGCAAACTACCATAAGTTAGATGAAAATTGTATTGAACAACGGAAAATTTAGGGTTTTTTCTTTTAAATTGAATATTTTAATATGATAGCCGAGTTTCTTATAAATTAGCTAGAAATTGACAGTAAACTTCTAAAATAAGCACTGAACTTCTAAAAGTTGACTGTGCTAATAACGAAATACTAGAGTACCTTTTCGCTAATCTGTATTGAACTTCCGAAAACCCTAGCCAACGTTTAAAAATTGAGTATTTCAATAAAATATGATACAACATTTCCAAAATTATCATGGAAGGTGAATCAACAACTAATCAAAATATTTTGGAAAAAAAATTCCCAAGAGAATAATGATTGTTTCCATCATAAAACCACACTAATCACGGTTTTGAAAATGAATTAACTTGGGGGAATAATCATTCCATTCTCAGATAATTTATGTATATCAATCACGTCGATGGTAAGCGCACAATAGTACGTACTCATCACTCATGTCTACGTATGTTCCAAAATGTAACATTATAGTTTTCCTAACACATCATCTTTATAAAATTTAACGCGTGACGAGACGACCAAACAAAATCGAGAAGAAGAAGATGTTATGACTCATTATTTCTCAAAGTTTAGCCCTTGAATTAAATGTTAGTAAAAGTGTGTGGTTGTGGAAGGTAAAAAGGTGGTATTGAAATGTTGCGTGTATGTTCTATTATATTTATTATTATTTATTTATTTTTATTAATTTTTTGAATTGGAAAAACAAAACAAAAAAAGAAGAAGGCTTTATAAGAAATAATAATTATTGAGTGAAAAAAAAAAAAAAGACAGTAAAAGAGACATGGAAAGAACAAGGAACCGAAAGGACAGAAGTAGTAATAGAATGATTTGATTGATTGTCGATTACGTGTGGGAAGTATGAACACTCAGAATATCATGCACTCATTTATTGCAATTATAATATATACTTTCTTTTTTAATTTATCCATTCTCTATTTACATTTAACACATTTTCATTGTATACTAATTTTGTATGCATGCAGCTCGATTTTTTTCGACCTTTATCTCTCTGTTTACGTAGGGTTGTCCGTAGGTTGGGTTGGTTGATTAAATATTAAAAAGTGTTATCGACTCAACTTAAATGTGATCGCTGTGAGTCGTGAGATATGTTTGCTGACGAGTTATCCACATATCTAAAAAAAATCATATTTATTTTGAATATTTTTTTATGACAAGTATTACATTGTTACATTTAAAAATAATTAAGTCAACAATATTTGAATAAACGAATAATGAATATTACAAAATAATAAAGTTCAAATATATCAAGCCATGTGTCTTAAAATTAAAATAGTTTAACATAAAATAAAAAATAAAAAGTCAAAACACTATACAATATATTGAAACATTCCATGTGTTCTCAATTAGCATGAATCGAACAAGAATTCGAAACGTACTTCATAAGAATTAATCTCGTAATAAGATAATTAGGTTTATGTGTTTTGAGTTTAGTTAATATTAGTCTAATAAAATTAATAAATAGTAAATAAAGTTGGTTAACCAATATTACCAGATAAACTATTTTTTTTTTTTGCATATTACTCCCTATGTTCCATAATAACTGTCTATTTTTAATTAAAATATTTGTGTTCCATATTATCTGTCACTTTAGATTACCAATACTGCATTAAATGCATTTTTTCCTGTTTTAACCTTAATAATTCAACTATAAGTATTAACTCTCTCTTATCACATCATTAAATAATAAGAGGTTATTTTAGTCTTTCTAATATATTTTAACTAAAATCAAGACACATTTATTGAGTTTTTTAATCCTTGTGCAAAGCAAAAAACGACACTTAATAGGAAACGGATGGAGTAAAATACAAATCACTATCAACTCAACTGTACATGAGTTGGTTGATACTATCAATCCAATTATACATGGACTGGTTGATATTATAGAGCCAAATTAAATGGGCTAGTTGGTGATTGATTCTCCCTAAAAGAATGGGCCCATTGATTTAAGAATAAATTTAATAATGTAAGTAAAAGGTGCAAAATATTTAATATGAGTTCAACGTTAACACGCTTAAAAAAAATATCTCATAAAAATATATAATATATAAAGACAAAAATGAGATATAATTAATTAATAATAAAATGAAGACTGTTTTATGTGCTGGATTATGTGTGGTTTTGACCGCAAAATACAGGTGGAAACACATAAGCAATCCGAATATTCGAAACCAGATTCCCCTAACAAGTAGCAGCCACGTCATTTTTTATTTTATGTTTGGATGAATATAACCAATAAGAACTCCCTATGACGTCACCAAGAAAATCCTCTTGTAAAACTCTACAAAGGTTGTCCCCAAGTAAAATCTTTTTTGTTTCCTCATTTATTTCTCAATTCCCAAATATTGTAATAGCAATTGTAGTTTTGATGTGTGGAATGAGAACAGGGTTTTGTCACTTCTGCTTTGCTCGTTTTTGCACTTTGCCACATTAACAAAAAAAGAAAAAAAAACTTATACGGGCACAATCAAATCAGTTATTTTAACTCATTTAATCACCTATGACAAATGTTCAGGCGAATCTTCACAAATTGCGGCGCACGCTCGAAGCATATGGTTTTTTTTTTTTTTTTTTCTGTCTTTTCACCTGAAAATATTAAATGGGGTTGAAATTGAAAGTTCCAAGTACTCAATTGAACTTAATTTGAACTTGCCCAAATTCAAAATTAACTTAAATAAAACTTTGGGTGTTCCTCTTGCCGGTGAGAGAGAGTGTTTAGGGTGATTAGTATGTGCTTCTTCGAGGTGAGGACGACTCTGTAAATTAAAAACACGTGATTGAATTTTGAATTTTGAATTTTATGTGTGTTCGTGTGAGATAGAGTAAAAGCTTGTTGCGGAGACGAAATGGGTTATTGAATTTGAAACGAAAGAAAATCTAGAGACGAAAATTTAAAGAGAGAAAAAACGGGAGAGGAGATTGAAAGGACAATAACACCCTTCTACTATATATCTTTTTTTTTTATTTTGCATTCATTTTGTATAAAAAATGACAGCAATTACAACTAAATCATTTATTTATTTATTTGTTAATAAGTAAATCATGTTGTTCGATTTATGGTCTTAGTTAGTTAAAAAGAAGATTAGTGACATGACAACTTAACGAAAATTAAAAAGAGGAACAAAACACAACACAATGAATAGGCTAAAAAGTAAGAATAATTAAATAAATTGACCTATTAGACAATAAAATAAATAAATAAAAACATGAATAGTGAGTGAATTCATATTTCACCATCACTCAAAACACACATAAATCAAAGATTTTGAGATGCTAACGTTTGCAAAGTTGATGTCATAAGTGGGTGTTTGATCAAGTGGATTTCTGACATTGACCACCAATTTAATTTATTACCCAAATATTAAATAATCCATTTATTTATATATATCTTTAATTAATAAACGACCCCATTTAGTCATTATCAAGAAACGTCGTCGTTTGCAAGAAAACACGATTTCTTGGTGTTTATAATTGAATTTACACACATCCAACGGATGAAATTTTGACAAATCTTTCCAACAAAGACGTTTCATAATATGCTTTAATCGTTCATGTGGTGATTTAAAAATCACGACTTTAATAATTAACAAAGTTTTTTTTTTTTTTTTTTGAGTAAAATAATTAACAAAGTTGACCATATAGTTTTATGTTCTATTTAAATACCGACTTTTTGAAGGAATTGTATTTATAGAATATAAAATTTTAAAGCATCACTTTTTATTTTTCTTCCTTTAACTCTAATTTAAGAGCTCTTGAGTTATGTTTAGAATTGGGTAGTTATTAATTATTAGATATAATCAAGGAATCTCTCCATGAATATCTAATTTTCGTTATTTAAAAATAATAATTTCGTGGTATGAGTAAATGAAATAATAAAAATTTCAAGAGAAAAACTATTTTTTTTTAAATATATATATATATATATATATATATATATATATATATATATATATATATATATTCAAATATAGCTAAAATTAATTTAATTTATATATATATATTTTTTTTTCGAAACTTGAAGCCATCTTTTGAAGGGGGGCCAACATTGCGACGACTTTAATTTGAGATTTTGATTTGTGAGCCACCTGGTTTTAATTGTGTCTGAAGTGGGGCCCCCTCGTAGATCTAACAAAGATTTTAATAATGATTTGGTAAAAGTGCATGGTTTTCTCATTGAATTATATAATTGAAAAATTAAATTTAAATTTCCATATTAGTGTCCATTATGTATAATTCGTAAGAATCTTTCAATTTTATTTTTTTATTATGATATATATAAGAGAGTGTGACTACCGCGGGCGCTCAATTAGTTGCGGGATGATAAATTAGTGCAATATTCTAAAATTAAGTATCGACAACTACATCGTAAAAGAAACGAGAGACTTCGTCTTTTGGTACAAAAATGTGTTACCAATGTTTGGAAGCGTTTTGGATCTTATTTTGATTTCATTTTGAGGAAATATGTTTTGGGGGAATAATTTGAGAATGAAAGTAATGTTTGTTTGTATTTTGGAAGGAGACAAAATAAACTGTAGCAGTCAAATCATGTTTAAAGGTGTTAGAAAAATGTATTTTTGAAGAAAAAAATTGAAAGATGAAGTGATGTTTATTTGTTTTTTAGTGAAGACATTTTTTACTGTAACAATCAAATCATTTTACTGTAGCAGTCACATCATGTCTGAAGGAGAGAGAAACTTTTGAAATTGTTTTGAGAAAATGTTTTGAAAAGTGTAATAAATCTCATTTTATTTTGGGGAAACAATGAAAACAAAACAAAAATGGTTCCAAACATTGCCCTAAATTTAGTGTTCTGATTTCAATTCAAGTGTAAAGAGAAGCATACATCTAGTTGAGTAAAATTAGTGTTTTTATTAAACTCCTTTTAATAAAAAAAAATATATATTAATGTTCAATTAAAATGAACATCACCCATTAAATAAATAAATAAGCAATAAAGACAAGAGAGTATTGGCAGAAAATTTATTAAATCATTTAGTGAACGACCAATTAAGTTATGAATGTTACATAAAACAAATTAAAATAAATATAGATATTGATTTAATTCATTTTTTCTGAGGGGGGATTTGTATCCACGTTACCTGAATTGGTCCAATTATTTGTGGTAGTGACACTTTCTTGAATTAATATAAATTCTGCATATTAAAGAACTTATGTGTGACCCCTTTATTTTGTTTCTATTGCTACTTTTACATTTATTTATTTTTTATTAACACATGAAATAATTTAACTCTGTGTGTGTGTGTGTGTGTTTCCAGCAGCCGTCTCCGACCATAAGTACAAAATTTGAAGCACAATTCTTGTTGGATTTGCTGTTATTTGGAAGTAGTAGCAATAGATATTTAATTATTTTTTATTTATTTTTATTTTGAATATATAATAAATAATTATAATAAGAATTTATTGCATTTGACACCCTATATTTATCTATGTATTCGAAAATAATTGAGGAGATATTGTAAATAAAAATAAAATAGTAATTTTCAAGATAAGTTATTAATTAATATTTTTTAAAATAGGTAAAATAATTAATAATCCAAAAAAGAAAAAAAAATATATATATATAAGAAAAATGGGAAATTGCATAATTCAAGTTGCGTGGGGCGCAGTGTCTGCTGCTCTGCTACTGCCGGGTGTCGGTAAGAGCCAGTCCACCAAGGTGGGCCCCCACGAGCTTCAGCTGCAGACACGTGTCCACTTCCCCAATTTGACAGCTCATCGCTAGTTGGAATTATCAGATTTGCCAGTTTTACCCCTCGAGCCGCACCATTCTCCGCGTAACGAGACCCCACACACAACACGTCAATTCTCACGTGAGATACCATACGTCATCTGCTACGTCACATTGCAAATTACTACATGGGTCCCACCAAATTACTATCAAAACTAAAAAGCCCATTATAAGTTTATTGGATCTTTCTGATACAAACTAGCCATGGGCCCAATAGTGTACGTTGAAAATAAAATTGTTTTAAGTCCAACTAAATTTTGCAAATTTAGTTAACGTTATATAATTACCCAACATTCAACAATTCAAGAAATTAAATCACGTACTGTAATATTTATATCTTATTATCACTTAATAAGGTCTATGAGTTATTACATCTGATAAGACATTTTAAAATTTGTTTTACTTCATTTAACGACACTTAAATAATTATTTAAAAAAATCTATTGTTTCGTGAAGAGTCTAGTTTTAGTCATAGAAAAAACACTTCAAAAATTATTTCAATTTTTAAAATATCTATTACGTTGGCATCACTGCATTCGGATTTCAAAACATTGATTAACATAATGTTATAATGGTAAAAGTAGTTATTTAAAATTTCAGTTATTATTTCGTGAATTATATGGATTATGTATATTTTGTTACCATCACCAGAATTAAGAAATTTGGATAACATCCTCCAGAAACAGCATAGTTCCGTCAAAAGTAAAGAAAAAAAGGAAACTAGTAACAAAATTGCAAATCGAACACGTACCCAATTTCTAATATCATTACCGGTTACACGTACCCAGTTCCTAATATCATTATCGATTAATAATAAATTGAAAACCGCGACAGAGAGAAAAAAGTGAGTAGATACACGGCAGGATTTTTCCTACAACGGAACCATGCCGTCAACAGAGATTTCATGCCTCCGTAAACAATATTTCCAGGTAATATTTTAATTCTTGATAGTCGACTAATAATTTTCAAATACTGCTAATAAATCAATAGGGGTAAAGGTTCACTTGAGTCGACATCAACGAGGGTAAATCACTAGATAACGCTTTAAAATATTAGAAATTCACTTAAATTCAGCATACTCGTGAAAATTGTAAATAAGTTGCAGATAAAATTAATAAACGACATTACTACTGGATCTAAAGTTAATTAACGGCATTATTGGTTCAGGAAGCCGTTTCTGCAATCGAAAAACAAAAACAAACAAACATCGTGCTTTATAAAAGTTGTTGCATAAAGGCTCGTACGAATATCTTCCCATAAAACACATGCTTTGTACAAAATATGAACCGTAAGTAAAAGCCGAGCATCATACCATGGTAAAACAAATCTACGGTAACCTGAAAACGGCATTTGACATAAAACCCGAAACAAAATGTTCGTAACTTGTTATTCCCCTAGTGATATATTACCAATTCCTCGTATCTCTAGATTCTTAAAATATTCATTAATATATTGCTGCTAAATAGAAAGCATACTCTAGTGATTTCCGAGCAGACTCTCTCTTCATCAAAACTACTTATATAGTAAGAATTGATCATTCAAATAATTAATGAACGCAATAATCCAGCTAGAAAATATTATTAAGAGTTAATGGTGCTGAATTTACAGCCCTTTTATAAGCAAAGAAGCTAGTAAAAAAATTAAAAAAAAACAAAAAAAAAAAAAGCAGACGATTAAAAATTACTCCGAATAAAACTTACCAGAAAAGGGGATCGTGAGTATTTTGTATAGCTTCCCACAAAAACTGGATCCACTGTGTTAATCAGATCGCCCGGCACACCCGAATCCGTTCCGGTGGAAAGCATGAGGCGGCGCGTGGTGGCGTCGCGGCCAAAGACGCCGTCGAAGAGCCCTCCATTAACTAGCGAATAATCTTATGCGATTAAGACGTGAGCGAGTATTCAGAGCTTGATTCTGTGACAGCAAATCATGAAATCCAGCTGAAACTCGAGATGCCATGGTACTCCGATTCGAGAAATCCGTACGAGTTCATCTTAAATCGTGTGCTGAGTGTTCCACAATTAGGGTTTCTAGAGGGAGAGGAGATGAAGAAGATAGGGTTTGGCGACTGTTTTTGCTGAAGAAAGGAACGAGAGAGCAGGTGTAATGTTATTTGGGAAAATTGCAATCAAATCCCTAATTGAAGTTTTAGAAATTTAGTATAAATTGCAATTTGGCCGCTATTCTTTTTTTTTTATTCAGTTTGGCCTCTTACTATTATTTAGTTCATATTGTGGCCTTAAAATGAATAAAAACTACAATGTGAGGTCCTTCCTTTAATTTGACTAATAACAAAATTGCACAATTGTTTCTCCCACTAAGAATTGCACACGTAGCCAAATGTATAATATCATCACCAGTTAACGATAAACTGATAAACTGCGCAGGAGAGAAAGGAGAGAGGAGAAACATGGCGAGATTCTGCTTGCAATTGAACACCGGCGCCGGCAGAAATCTCGCGGTGGCCTCCGCCGGAGGAACCGGTAAACGGAAAAGCAGCCCTATCGAGAGAGTTGAGCTCCCGGAGAAAGTGAAGAATTCGAGAGTTTTGGTACTAGGTGGCACCGGAAGAGTCGGTGGTTCTACCGCTCTTGCCCTGTCAAAGTTCTGCCCAGATCTTCGCATCGTCGTAGGTGGTCGGAACAGGTACCTACTTCAATACATTCGCATATATTCCTTTTTTATTATTTTTTTGGGAGGGGGAATTCTGAAATGTATCTAATTTGGGGGTGAATGTTGTTGATTGGATGAATTAGGTTATGCTCTCAATGTGTTTGTGGGTTTGCGTGTGAGAGTGTGTTTTCGTTTTCCTATCTTTGGCTAATTCGTTGAGAGGTTTCAGAAATTATAAGTTTTTGAGGGTGAATTAATCTGAGTTGTGTATTTGTAGTTTCCAGGCAATATTTTAATTCTCGAAAGTCCGACTAATAGTTTTCGAATACCTTTCATATAAATCGATAGGGATAAAGGTGATGCAATGGTGACACAATTAGGCAACAACGCCGAATTCGCTCAAGTCGACATCAACGATAGTAAATCACTGGACAAAGCTTTAAAGGGTCCGTTGATTTTTTTTATTTAATTTTTTAGATTACACGATTATTCGTCCGACGAAATTAAACAATTTTTTTTTAATTAAAATATAATTTCTTATCCATGTACAGAAGTGGATCTTGTTGTTAATACTGCCGGTCCATTTCAGCAGTCTGAGAAGTGCACTGTGCTCGAGTCTGCAATTCAGAACAAGGTGAGAGAAAGGTAAATTTTTCATTTCGAAAAAACCCCTTTATCGTTTATTACTCAACTTACTTTCGAAGACAAAAAAAGGAAGCACAGTCTTAAATATACTTGTGTTTACCATTAATCAACAGACGGCTTATCTTGATGTATGCGATGATATGAGCTACGCATTTCGTGCAAAATCATACATGAAAAGAGCGGTTGAAGCAAATATTCCAGCTATAACAACCGGGGGAATCTATCCAGGAGTGAGCAACGGTTCTGTTGCATTATCCTTGTAATATATATCTGTCGAAGCATTTAGAGACAGCATTATCTAAATAATTTGCCACATATAGCTTTAACTTTTCGGTTTTCAGACAATAATGCTTTCTTCACTATTATTACAGTGATGGCAGCTGAACTAGTTTCTGCAGCCAAAAGTGAAGGGAAAGGTGAACCGCAGAGGCTCAGGTAATCGTTTTTTTTTCCGCCTCTAAAATATGACGAGCTATTTGGAATTTCATTAAAAAAATGCTTAATACATTTGCGTAAATTTCTTTGTTTGGTCGATATTATTGTGCATTGATTACTCAATTAGATGCTTCCTTGTTCTTAGGTTCTACTATTACACTGCTGGCTCTGGTGGTGCTGGCCCCACAATATTATCGACTAGTTTCTTACTTTTGGGGGAGGAGGTAGTTGCATATAATAGAGGTTCGATGATGAACTTTTCTTTATTTATTTTTTCAAATTTTTTTTCTATCTTGATTTTAATTGGGTAGGAGGCGATATTTCGCAGGAGAGAAAATCAAACTGAAACCTTATAGTGGAATGCTCAACATCGATTTCGGGCTAGGAATCGGAAAGAAGGACGTTTTCCTCTTGTATGTTTCTCAAAATCATATTATTTAAAATCGTTCTTTCTCTAAAGTCGTTACTCTAAAAAAAATCTCTATTGCAGAAATTTACCAGAAGTGAGAAGCATCCACGAGATTCTCGGAGTGCCAACTGTCAGTGCTCGGTTTGGAACGGCACCTTTCTTCTGGAATTGGGGAATGGTAGCCATGACGTATTTGCTTCCAGCTGTATGTGAATTAAATTCTTGAAACTTTAATTATTTTTTTCTTTATCCATCACATTTTTTTTTTCCAAAAATGCAGGCATAAAATTAACTTAAAGTGAAATGTTCTTTGCATTTCTTGTTCTCATGTTTCATGTTGTAATGTTTTGATTCGAACAATATAGATGACTGTAATAAAATATCCAGGAGACACTGAGGGACAGAAGTAAAGTTGAACAGTTAGTTCAACTGTTTGATCCTTTAGTGAGGAAAGTTGATGGATTCGCTGGAGAGCGTGTGTCAATGAGGGTACAATCCCCTTCTCATGTTGTTCTATAATTCTAGTATTTTTTTTGAGTATGATAATTCTAAGGGATTTAAAAAAATAAAAAAATAATAATAACTGAGTTTCTGCATGAAAATCTAAGGTTTCTTTCGTAGCAGGTCGATTTGGATTGTTCAGATGGACGGTCAAGAATCGGAATATTCAGCCACAAAAGACTATCCGAGTACGCCTTTCGTGTGCTTTTGTTTATTTTTCAGAAACTCTATTTACTTTCTTACTTTCCACGTCGAACGTTCCCTTTTAATTTCCAATAATTTTTTTTAATAATATTTAATGTTTTTTTTTTTGTTTCCAGATCAGTGGGAATATCAACAGCTGCATTTGTACTGGCCATTCTTGAAGGAAGCACACAACCTGGGGTTTGGTTCCCAGAAGAGGTAACCTCTGTTAAAAAAAGATCAAAAGATCTAAACCGTAAAATTTGAATCTTTTAAAAATAATAAATAAGTTGTGGCGTGATCTGTTTATAGGCGGGAGGCATTGCGATCGAGGCGAGGGAAACTCTTCTCAAACGTGCTGCTCAAGGAACGATTAATTTCGCCATGAATAAGTACGAATTTTGTAGCAGTAAAATCTCATTTGCTTCGGTTAATTACTTTAATCAGCTCCTTCAGTTAATTAACTGAATTTGTTGCATGTCTAATATTATAGGGCACCATGGATGGTTGAAACAAATCCTAAAGAGTTGGGCTTCGGAATCTACGTGTGAAAAAAATATATTGTTATAAAGCTGTTGAAATGAATTTTTCGTTCACTTTGGCTGCAAAGGTAAATTCACTTGAGCTGATTTATTTGCTGTTTCGATACGCCGAGTTATATTAAAACAACCAATTCTGTTGTTGTGTATTGATTCTTGTAAGATCTGAGCATATTTGTCTACGAAAGAAAATATATTTTTTTTTCATTCTTGTTAAATCCTGAAATTCGTCGTGCTGTGAATACATGGAAATGCTTCGTTGTTTATTTCGCCGTTCTTGTATTTTGCTTGAATTGTTCGTTTGTTCGACTTCTGATGGACAAATGAAATGAGAATCTTGTGCCATTTTCTTCCACGAGCCCCCCCCCCCCCCACAACTAAAATTCAATTCGAAAATTTAGAAACATAGCTAATTGGAGCGCGACACGTGGCACGATGACGTCACTACTCGTTGTGCATACACGTCTGCCCAATCACACTGCAGGTGGTGCCTTGTCATCCGACAGGTGTCTGCTCTGCCCAATCACTCACTTGTTGAAAAAGTCCAAAACGCCCTCACTTCGCCGCGGTCCAATTTTATTTTATTTTCGGGTCTTATTTTATGGTTGTATCTTGGGGACAGTTGCTAAAAATCGAGAGCACTTGTATTGGGGAAATATTTTCTTAAGAAGAAATGATTCGAGTAGTTACTTCGACTCTATCATTAAGTTATGTCCAAATCTTGGTTTAGAAATATGCCTCCCAAAATAACATATGTCTCATGAGAAATAATATTTAAAAAAGCAATATATATTAAGTACAAGGAATCAGGTTCCTGTCCAAACGAGAAGAAACTGAATTAGAAGCTTCCATGGAGAAATGAACCAAAGAGCATGAAATGACAACCAGAGGAACATGGATGATTCAGAGAACCCTCAGCCCCCTTTTTTTTTATAATTTTATTATTTTATATATTTCGTAATTAATTTATTTATTTTATATATGTTTCCATCTGCCATATTTCTTCAATTAATTATTACACATGCTTTATTGACTGTTGATTGGCATCTTGGCTGAGGTATTAGATCCCTTTTGGCCCAACATGTTTGCTTCAGCACTAACAATATTTAAATTCAAAAATAAAATAAAAATATATATATATATATATATATATATATATTACCTTGAGCACATTCCCTTTCTTTAATGAAGAAAGTTAAGACAAAATTTAATTGTTTCCTGGGAATCTCAAAATTCTTTGTCCCTTGAGCAGTGTTGTGAGTGGGGTGTGTCTTTGAGGTAATATTTTACTATATATTTTATACAGTTAAACACACACACTACAAGCGTAACTGTGTGTGTAAATGTGATTAGATGCAAAACCCTATCACTCATAAATCACCCTTAAGTATTATTAATAATGTACTGTGGCATGAAACTTCACAGTTGCCTTCAGTTCTATGCAAAATCGGGATGCCGAAATTCGCCCGTTTCGTAGATGCAACATTCGTAGTTAAGAGGCATATTATATATATATTCTATAAAGAGCACTTCTTTATAAAAGAATGGTGGAGCTTGCCTTGAAGAAAGACAATTGGAATTATTGTACGGAGTTCATTATTTTAAAAAAATATACAAGATATAATCACAGTATTAGTTTAGTCGAAACTAATTTGCTGTCTCGATTGTGTTAACTTTGTCCATAGAATTGTCTTTCTTTCTTTCGTCGCAGCATTTCGCAGCCGCCTTCAAGATTTGTGACTTCTGGTAATAAAGCATGGTTTTTTTTTTTTTTTTTTTTTTTTTTTTTGTTTTTGTTTTTGTTAAACGATAATTATTTTAATTTTTGCTTCTTCGTCGTAGATTAATTACGTGATGGCCGTGAGCAGTAGTAATGAGCGGACAAGATCAGTCGGCAAAGTTGCGTACCATAAATTGTTTTCGTTTTCAGACAAAGCAGATTATGCACTAATAGCCATCGGTTCAATCACAGCTCTTGTAAGCGGACTATGTTTGCCTCTTATGACTTTCTTATTCGGACAGCTGGCCAACTCTTTCGGGCACAATGTCGAAACTAATACAGTCGTCCATGAAGTCTCCAAGGTATATCTTATATTATTACATTACGTATCGAAAAAATTATAATGATTTATCTAATAGACCTTTTTTTTAGGTTTCTCTCAAGTTTCTATATCTCGCAGTGGGGTCCGGTATTGCAGCGTTTTCCCGTAAGTATCAAGACCCTTTTTTACGTATCACAGTCTTATATAAACATAGTAATCGAAATCAAGAAAATCGAGTATTTTAGACGTGTGTTTTTTTGGCAGAGGTCACATGCTGGATGATCACAAGCGAAAGGCAAGCGGTTCGAATTAGAAATTTGTACCTAAGGGCAATACTTAGGCAAGATATCGGATATTTCGATACAGAAGCTAACACGGGAGAAATTATCGAAAGGATGTCTACCGATACTATTACAATCCAGGACGCTATAGGCGAGAAGGTAGTTATATATATAACCTTGTCCTAAAAAAATCAAGAATCAAATATTCATTGTCCGAAAAAAAAAATCCTTTTTTTTTTTGTGCTGCAGATGGGAAAATTCTTGCAGCTTTCGGCTTCATTCATTGGAGGGTTTACGATAGCATTTATTAAAGGATGGCTTTTAACTACAGTTTTGCTTTCGGCTATCCCGTTTCTTATTATCTCAGCTGCTTCGATGACTGTACTAATGGCGAAGCTCCGATCACGAGGGCAAGAGGCTTATTCGTCTGCTGCTATTATTGTCGAACAAACAATCGGCTCAATCAGAACTGTAATAAAACAACATAAAAATACAAACTTGGAACCTTCTATTTTTTATTTTTTTTTGTGGGCTCAAACAAGAAGTTCCATGCAGGTTGCTTCGTTCACGGGGGAGAAACGAGCGGTTGATAAATACGAAAAATCTTTGGATAAAGCTTACGAAGCGGGCGTAGAGGAGGGATTGGCTGCCGGATTAGGGTCCGGTATATTTATGCTGATTTTATTCTCTAGTTATGCTTTAGGAATTTGGTTTGGCGCCAAAATGATTTTGGACAAAGGCTACACAGGTGGAGATGTCTTGAACATAGTAATGGCTGTTGTGACAGGATCTTTGTAAGTCAGACCCGATTTTTCAATTTTCGTCGTTAAAAAGTTTCGATTTTTATTTTCTTTTAATTGTAGAATTTGTGTACTATAGTTCATTAGGACAGGTGTCCCCATGCTTGAGTGCATTCACCGCTGGTCAAGTTGCTGCTTTCAAAATATTTCAGACAATAAACCGGAAAAAACCGGACATAGATCCTTATAGAATGAATGGAAAAGCCCCGAATGATATTAACGGCGATTTAGAATTACGCGACGTGTGTTTCAGTTACCCTTCGAGACCGAACGAGAAGATATTCGACGGATTTTGTCTCTTCGTGCCTAGTGGGACCACCTTAGCCTTGGTCGGAGAGAGTGGGAGTGGAAAGTCAACTGTTGTTAATCTTGTCGAGAGGTTTTACGATCCGCAAGAAGGATTAGTCTTGATCGATGGTGTCGATATCAAAGAGTTTCGACTTAGTTTCTTACGAGGAAAAATAGGGCTCGTGAGTCAAGAGCCCGTTTTATTTGCTTTGAGCATTAAAGATAATATTGCTTACGGGAAAAACGAGGCGAGTATCGAAGAAATTAGAGCTGCTGCCGAAAATGCCAATGCTGCTAAGTTCATAGACAAGCTGCCTCAGGTCAGACACTACTAAATTTGTGATTATACTTTAGTACTATTGCTATACGTGGAAAATCAGAATGATCGGGTTGGAATTAACACTTTCCGTAAAAAAATCGGAATTTCGGTAATTGAAATGAAAAAATGTTCTGAAATCGGAAATTTTCGGATCGGAATTTGGCGAATTCATAAATTCCAACAATAATACTGCTATAATAAGCGTAATTTTCGGAAATCAAAACCGGATAAAAAATCGGAATCTAACCTTGAAAAAATTATTCCAAATGCATTAAAATTGTTGAAAAAAATGCATATAAATTTGGAAGACATGTGAATCACGTGTGAACAGGGGATGGAGACAATGGTAGGTGTGAACGGGACACAGTTGTCTGGTGGGCAGAAACAGAGGATTGCTTTAGCAAGAGCGATTCTTAAACATCCTAAAATCCTACTTCTAGACGAAGCCACTAGCGCTCTTGATGCCAAATCGGAAAGAACTGTACAGGAGGCATTGGAGAGGATCATGATCAATCGAACGACGCTAATCGTAGCCCATCGGTTGACTACAATCAAGAACGCTCATTCCATTGCCGTTATTCGTCAAGGCAAAATCGTAGAAAAAGGTAGATATATACATCATATTTAAATTTACACTTACCTCCCTGAAGTTAGGTCGAATGACACCTAGACCCCATGAGTTTTAGAAATTTACATATACCTCCAACCCAATTCTAGAATTGACTTTTTTATCCTCACCATGATATTTTTTTGTTTCAATTTTCTTTTTTTTTTTGAAAAAAAAAACTAGGGTATAAGAGTGAGAATCGTAATTTCTCTTCGCACAAACAATTGAATTGCAATTTTTTTGTTCGTGACTTAAATAAAATCTAAAAGGGTAAAAATGTAATTGTTTTTATAAACAATCAAATTTTTTGTCTGATGTCATCACTCTTTGGTTAGTCAATGGCCACATTTGATATATTGTTGACTAAAACCAAACTTCAAGGGAGGTATATATAATTTTCTGAATTTGAGAGGGTCCAAGTGTAATTTAATTTGAAAGTTCTTTTTTTGTTTTTTGTGTTTTTCAAGGTTCACATTTGGAACTAACAAGAAATCCGGAAGGAGTATACAGTAATCTCATAAAACTACAACAGCTCAACAAAGAGTACTCATCAAGAACAAATTCTCCAACTGATGATGAAGATGGACGAGAAACGGACGCAGATTACGTACTAAGGTCCGTAAATCGAGAGACGGTGTATCGAAAACCGAAGAAAGAGCATAAAGTACAGCTCCATCGCTTAGCGTACCTCAACAAACCCGAACTCCCGTACCTAATACTAGGTTCTTTAGCTGCAGTTGTCAACGGTGCAGTACTACCGCTCTACGGCCTCCTATTTTCCAACACAATCAAAGCATTCTACGAGCCGCCTCAGAAGCTTCTAGAACACTCCAAGTTTTGGGCGTGCATGCTCGTTTTCCTCGGTGTGGGGTCCCTTTTCGCCACCCCGATGAAAACCTACTTCTTTTCCGTGGCGGGGTGTAGGTTGATCAAGCGAGTACGATTGATGTGCTTCGAGAAAGTTGTCCACATGGATATGAGTTGGTTCGATAGGAGCGAGAACTCGAGCGGTGTGATTGGCTCGAGACTGTCGGCGGACCCCACTTCTGTGAGGAATCTAGTTGGGGAGTCTCTTGCGATGCTCGTGCAGAATGTTTCAACAGGTGTCGTTGGTTTGATTATCGGTTTCGGGGCGAGCTGGGAATTGTCACTTATAGTTATGGCGATGTTGCCTCTTATCGGACTTAACGGATATCTTCATATGAAGTTTATTAGTGGATTTAGTGCCGATACGAAGGTTAGTTTCACTTCTAATAATCTTACTCGATCTTCTGGTGAATCTTCTAAGGCTCCGTTTGGTTGGAAAGTTGTGATTAATGTAATAATTGGGCCTTGATTAGTGTTTGGTTTGGCTAAAAACACAAGTTTTCCAATATAAATATACTAAAAATTTGGACCGATTTGTCGTTTTTTGCAGAAATTATTCGAGGAAGCGACTCAAGTTGCGAGCGAAGCTATCGGAAGTATGAGAACCGTTGCTTCGTTTTGTGCAGAAGAGAAGGTGATGAAACTGCACCGCCAAAAATGCGAAGGCCCGCTCAAATTAGGAACCAAACACGGCCTTATAAGTGGGGCCGGATTCGGAATCTCGTTGTTCTTTCTATACTCGGTCTACGCAGCTAGTTACTATGCCGGTGCTCGTCTTGTTGATGCCGGAAAAATAAAATTTGGCGACGTTTTCCGTGTAAGCCCCGATATACATAATTAACTCTAATTGCAATATATATTAATTTGATCTTCTCGGTCACGTTTTTATTCGGCAGGTTTTCCTAGGTCTGAGCATGACCGCCATTGCAATATCCCAGTCGAGTGCTCTTGCACCGGATTCCGGTAAAGCCAAGGCAAGCGTAGCTTCGATTTTCGCAATTCTTGATCGGAAACCGGAAATAGACTCTGCTGAAAAAACAGGAATCACGTTGGAAAACGTAAAGGGGGACGTTGTTTTTCGTAATGTCAGTTTTAAGTATCCCAATAGACCTGATGTTCAAATCTTTAATGATCTATGCTTGGCAATTCATACAGGCAAGGTACAAAATCGTTAACGAACTTTTTTTTTTCGGTTTAAATTGTTTCGATTTGTAATGTTTTTTTAAAATAAATATTTGCAAGACGGTTGCGATTGTGGGAGAAAGTGGGAGCGGAAAATCGACGATGATTTCGTTACTGCAAAGATTTTACGATCCCGATAGTGGAGAAATCACAATAGATGGGATTGGAATAAAAATGCTGAATTTGAAATGGTTAAGACAGCAAATTGGTGTAGTGGGCCAAGAGCCCGTTCTCTTCAACGACACGATACGGGCCAACATTGCTTACGGAAAGGAAGGCGGTGCAACGGAGGCGGAAATTGTGGCCGCTGCTGAGTTGGCGAACGCGCACAAATTTATCTGCGGCACACACAAGGTGCTGTAATATTCATTTCTACACTCTTCTTTGAGACATTTTAGAAAGGCCTCGTTTGATTGGTAAGATTAGCTCTGGTTAATAAAATAATCGAAACTTATTATATTTAAGAAAAAAAAAATTATTGTAGGGGTACGAAACGATGGTTGGTGAAAGAGGGATTCAATTGTCGGGCGGGCAAAAGCAACGAGTGGCTATAGCTAGAGCTATAGTGAAGGGTCCGAGAATACTACTACTCGACGAGGCGACGAGTGCTCTCGATTCCGAATCGGAGAAGGTGGTTCAAGATGCATTGGACCGAGTAGCAGTGGATCGGACCACCGTGGTGGTGGCTCATCGTTTGTCGACCGTGAAGAACGCCGATTCGATTGTCGTTTTGAGGAATGGAGTTATTGCAGAGAAAGGAAACCATGAGAGTTTGATTACTAAGAAAGATGGTTTGTATGCCTATTTGGTGTCGCTGCATGGCCATGGCAATGATTTATATTCTTGATTTTTTTTTAAATTTCTTTTTTAATTTCAATTTCGTGGTGTATTATTAATTATGATTTAATAATAAATAATTAAGGGACAGAAAAACAAACAGGGAATCAATCTTAAGAGATAATAATCCCCAACTCCCAATGCACCCGAAAAAAAATAAAAATAAAAATCTGTCCAAATATCCAAAATGTTTCTGCAAAGACAGATTTAAATACTTTGTCCGAAAATGAAGCACATGAAGCTCACTGTTCAATCCATTATTATTTATTAAAACCCAAAATAAATAATTAAAAATTAAATAAATAAACACCAAAAAGAGAAGAAAAGGAGCAGCAGAACCCATAAAAACAAAAGGCCAAACACATGTGCACACCCATTCACTAAAATAAAAAAAAAAAATTAAAAAAAATTAAAAAAAATGTGTCAGCACCCATGTGAGCGTGTGTGTGTGTTTGTGTGTGGCAAGAAAGTGAAATGACCCCTATTATGGTACCCCCTTCTTACCCCCATTCAAATTGTGTCAGTACCCATGTGACTCTAGGGGGCCCTCGCCCCCCGCCCCCCACCTTCAAGAAACCACAAAATGAGACAAAAGAGTCCTTAAAAAGTTGGCCTTTAATGAAATATCACAAAAGAACACACCTTTTTCTTTTTCTTCATACATACACATATATTCCTCTCTTCTATGTCAACATGACTAATTATTCTAATTTACAAATTTATTTTTACATCCACAAATAATAATGTAAAAAAATAAAAAATAAAAAAAAAAGATAAGAAAAAGGGTAAAATTGTCATTATATATATATGAGCTTTTGTTCTACTGTGTGGTCCTGCACACAACTACATATTGTACAAAATGAACAAGATAGAGAAGAGAGAGAGAGTAGAGAGAGAGAGAGAGAGAGAGAGAGAGAGAGACGACTCTCATAAATCAGTTCTCATCTGTCTGCATTTATGTATTGTTGTTGTAAGTAGTAAGTATGGTATTGTTGATGACAATAATAATAATAATATTATTAATTATTATTAATAATAATAGTAGTAGTAATAATCTTGATTGAGATTTTTTGTTTTTCCTTACACTTCTCTTTTCTTCTGTTGTTGGGGGAGTGTTGTATGGTTGTTTTTTCGGCTATACACCTAGACGACTTCGATTTATTTCCTCGTTGTATATATGCTACTCGAACTTTTCTGCATCCGAAACGTCGAAAAAAACATCGTCAAAAAAACGAAGAATCTAAGATGAAACGATGATGAAAAAAAACGTAAATTTGCTCTTACCAAAAGCTATAAGTTAAAGTCTTTTGCTTTGCTAGCTAGCCACCTACATTTCAATGGCTTCTTGCCCGGACGAAAACCTGGAATCAATCGTATTTTCTTAATACTCGCATAAGTCGAAAGAAATCGTAAAAAACGGCAAGGATATATTTAATATTTAATATTTATATTTACCTCGGCATTTGAATGTAACATGATTTGAGAGAAGCCATGTTGTTGTTAGAGATTGTTAAAGGTGTCGTGGTACTATCATCGGTAGATGATGAAGCTTCGGAAAATACAGAGTTATTTTCGGCTGCTACTTTTGTAGGAGACGCGAAAAGATTTTCGGGGAGCATATCTTCGAAGCTGCAAAAACATTAAACTAATATTCAAGAAATATAGCAAAACAAACATTTTTTTTTAATTTTTTTTTTGGGTTTTTGGCAAGAAAATCGTTACTCGTAGCTAGAATTATATTCGAGTGGAAATATTACGTACCTTTCGGAGAAATTAGAGACATCTCCATTTACATGACAGTGCTGCTTATTGGTGGTAAAAGATTCGATTTTTTCCAGCACCAACTTCTCATCGCCACCAAAATCGGGAGATTTAACTGCCTCTTCGCTACCATCAAATTTTGCTATAAAAAAATTTAAATAAATAAATAAATTCTAAGGTGAAACATTATATTTCTCGAAATAAAGAAAACCAATAAACCTTCGGAATTTTCTTGATTAAAGCTATCAGAAGCGTTGGTGAAGTTTTGATTAATCGGTAACTGAGACTGCCTCGGAGAGGAAATAAAGCTCGGATGAAGAATATTATTATGGTGGTGATTTTGTTTCAATTCCATTAGTTGCAAATTCATCATCCTTCGACTTTGAATTTCGATAGCGTGCTGTAATTCCGCCTCTTGCTCCAATTTCCTCCTAAGCATCATTTCTTGTGGACTAAACAACATTCTAGAACCTTCACGAAAAAAAAAACAGAAAAAAATTATTCAGCTAATAAAACACATTAATAATCACAAGAAACATAACCTTCTAATTTAAATTTTTTTTTTTTTTTTTTTACCGAAGGGAAGATCAATGTGTTCTCGAGAATCAATTGCCGAAGGGCTTAAGCAAGATGAAAATTCCCCTCTCTCCAAGTGTTGTTTCCTACAATAATACGTCATTAAAATTAACAAAATATATAATATATTAATAGACTAAATAATTATAGAAGTGAGAAATAAACGGTACTTGTCGGGGACTTTTCCTTTCTCCTTGTAAGGTTTAACGAGCACACGAGAATCGCACACGAAATGAGGATTCCCTTTTGCTAAAATGAGCTTAACAGTCTCCGAAAACACAAACGTCACAAAACCAAACATCCGTTTCTGCTGATACGGAATTCTAACATCTTGCACCGGTCCGAAGATACTACAAACGCATAACAGCCCATATTATTAAAACAACCAATTTTTCAAGAATCGAAAAAAATCAAATTAAATTTGCTTTATTTAATCACTTGTACCTAAAGTAGTTAGAAACATCGTCTTCTTTAAACGAACTATCGGCTGGAAATGTCAAGTAAATCTGACGGGCGCTCGAATTCGCCATCATTGAGAAGTCGTTTCTGTCGGGTCGAAACCGATTAAATTTGTGTGATTCGTCGCCCATCATTAGCGCAGATCTAACAATACACACCGAATCCAATACATTCAATAATTTCGATAAAGAAGTCAAGATTTTTTAAATTTTAAAGCCACATGTAAAAAATAGAAGTGCAGATAATGTTGCACATGCCCAACACCACAAGGAACAAAATAATTGATGCTTACTAAACAAAAAGATTGAATTTTTAACAAGAATTAAATCCTAAAAATAGCTAAAACATTACTAAAAAAAGTAAAGAAACAGTAATTTTTTTCCAGTAAAAGAATTTTACCTAGGATTCTCATTCAGAAAATCCATGCACTTGTTGTAGCCAAATGAGTGGTGGCCACCACCACCACCGCCACCAGCCGCCGCCATGGCAGCAAACCTCTGCTGCTGAAGAGCTTTCATTCTCAGCAATTCATCAAACCCAGAATTATTATAGCCCGGAGAACCCAACTCAATTCCTTCACCACCACCGCCGCCGCCGCAGGCGGCGGCGGCGGCAATATCAACGTGCAAGAACTTGCAGCTACTTCCATTCTTGCAGAAACCCCTAGCAAAATACATGCAAGGCCGCCACCCAAATCCGTTGGCGCCGCCGCCGTCTTCAAGAATATTAGAGAGAAACGCGGCGTCGTTCACCGAACAGCTCCGCCGGTGAAACGGGTGCGGCGACGGAACGCCGTTGGCATCCTCACCGTAAGGAAAAACCAGCGAATCACTCATCCCACCCGGGCTCATAACCGGATCCGACATTGGATCGTCCAAGAACGACAACCGATCCTGAACTTGCCGACCACCACCGGAGAACTCGCTACCGAACTCATCCCCGCCGTAAAAATGCACACCCGGCGAACCGGAGCCATTCTCACCACCAGCAGCAGCAGTAGAGCCGTTGAGAGCAGCGGCGTAGGAAAACGGCCGGGGACTGTTTACCTGAAAAGCGGCGGCGGGGGAAGAAGGGTTGCTGAAATTACGGAAGCCATTGTTGGGTATCAAGATTCTGGGAGTATTTAGTGGGAAAGGGTTTGAAGAAGAGATACCCAAACACGCCTTAGCTTTTTCGATGCAAGAGAGAAGAAGTGGTTCAGGGAGAAAAGCTAACCTAATCATCTCTTTCTCCCCTTTGTCTTGTATCAGTATGTAACCCATTATTTTCGATGCGTTTTCCGGATCCAAACTCTGGATCCTTGTCATCACTACTTTAGTTGCTTCGTATTTGTCCATGGCGGATTACCTCTCTCTCTCTCTCTCTCTCTCTCTCTCTCTATATATCTCTCTCTTTTTAAGGGGCTTATTCGTGTAACTTCTCCCTCTCAGAAGAGAGAAAATGAGGGAGACGAAGTAGGGGGTAGGTTTATTAAGTAGACTGGTTTAGGAGAGAGTGAGTGAGTGTGTGTTTTTTTAGAGAGAGAAAGTGGATGTGTGTGTGTGTGTGTATTAAAAAGATGGGGAATTGATTGATTGTTTAATTAGAGGAAGGGGAAGGTGGCTAAGATTTTTAATCATTTTTGTAAAAGGTAATTCAATGAATTATGAGATGGTGCTTATATTTGGACAATCATTACATTCCTCATAAATACACAATTATTTTCAGTTTTTATTTGAGCATTTTTTGTGCCTATTTTACAGTAAAAAATCGGATCTTTCTAGCTACCATTTTATTTTTCCATAATTAAATATTGTTTTTCTCAACAAAATAAAAAGAATAATTTATGGATTAGTAAAATTAAAAAAATATTTAAATGATACAAGATATTTGCTACTAATGACTGACAAGAGCTGGATTCTGGCAGAAGAATGGTCAATGTTTGGGTTTTGGAACGGGGAGGGGGGGGCAACGGAGTAGGTGGCGGCGGACGACGGAGATTAAGGTGAAAATTCAAGATTTGCATCGGTGGTGGTGCCGCCGTACACATTTTTTAAACTACGATTTCCAAAACATAAATGAGTGTTAATGCAGTTTCCATCATTTGTTGTACAAAATTGAAGACCATCCGCAAATTATTACTCCCTCTGTTCCACAATAACTGTCTTTTTTTAAAATTATTTTTGTTTCATATTATCTATCACTTTACATTTTCAACACTGCATTAATTGTGTAATTATCAATTTTATCATTATTAACTATCTCCAACACTCTCTCACATTAATTATTGGCAAGGGCATTTTAGTATAAGCACATATATTTTTCTAAAATTAAGCAAAATTTATTGAGATCCTTAATCCTTGTGCACAAGCTACAAACGACACTTATAAAGGAACGGATGGAGTATATGATTTAAAATTTAAATTCTTTAGTCTAAATTAAATAATCTCGTCCTGTAAATTTCAATTAAAATCCGAAATCTCCTTCTAAAATTAAAAAAAGAAAAGAAAAATATAATTAAAAAAAAATGCAAGAATGCGTTGGGCCCACTCTTGGGGCTGGCTCCGGAAATTTCTCTATGGATCGTAAGCCCCAACATATCAGTTCATGGTGGCCCATTTTGTGACTTTGGGCCGCCACCGGTTATTCCTTCACATTTTTTTTACCATTTATAATTTCTTTACAGGGTAATTTGTTAATTAAGTTGTCCGATGTCAATCTAAATTGTCTACTTTCGGTCTAAACTCTTCGACTATGTTATCTACTTTCTGTCTACGTTGTCCATGTTCATTCTAATTAATTTGTACCGAGAGAATTTAAGCAAATTCAAAATATTTGGATGGACTGTTACTTATATAAAATATAAGTGAGGGAGTTTTTACCTTTTTATTTTATACAATAATGGGGTCAGTTCCGGATCGAGTGGGCTGAATTCGCCATGTTCAAAACTGTTGGGCCAAAATATCCACAGTGGGTCCAGAACCAATAAATGAAAAAGACCGAGCCTAAGGCTAACATGGGCCACAAAAAAGTAGTTCGATCGAAGTGGTCATCAGAGGAGAGTGCGGCAGTAAAAAAGTTGCAAATATATGTATCAGTTCGCTGAAGAAGAACATGGTATCAAGGAATTCACAAACTAAATGGCTCGCCAACAAGGTTAGCTAAGCACCTATTAGCTTGCAAGAGAGAAAGAGGGGTAGGCGGGGAGCTCGGAGCTATACATCCTTTATAGGAACAAGATTCGATGATAATTTCCATAAAAGAATAAGAAAAGTATTTAAATTAAGATCAATGATTGATTGATTGATGTAAATCTCGGACAAATAAAAAAGGTCATAGGTTAGGAAATACTGAAATAGTCACATACGATCCTTTCAGCCGTCTTGTTCATCTCCATATTTCCAACGATAGGTGAGCTTTTCTAACAATCAAGAGTTAAAAAAGAAGGGTCTTAAGAGTGCAAATATTGCATCATCATCATAATTCATATATATATAATAACATACAATAAAACCAGTGGCGGATGTAGCTATGGTCTAGGGCGTGCAGTTGCACACCCTTGATGTTTGCCAAGTACTACTATTATACATAAGTTGACATTAAAGACAATTGGTTGAGGTGGTAAAGATATGTTTGTTGAGTAATAGGTCGCGGGTTTGATACCCCACCTTTATAAAGTAATATTGAAATTTTTTTTTCTACAATTTCGAACCCCCTTGGCAAAAATCCTGAATCCGCCACTGAATAAAACCATAGTTTAATTAAATCAGAAAAAGAATGTCTTTCCAGCAAAAATCAGCTGAATAATAAGAGACAATTATAGTAAAGAAAGTAAGAAACACTTCATGCAATAATGCAAAAAAACTTCCTGTGGCGGGAAAAAAATAAAAAACATTTGCATGCATGCGTGTGTGTGTGTGATCACGTACGTAAAAGAATATTTGATCTTTGTTCCCATCCACAACTGTCGCATGGGAATCAGAATATTATATCAGTACTACAGACATATGCATATCTTCAAACCATAGCTGAATACTAGACACACTTTGTAAGAAATCAAAAAATCTTATGTAATAAATAAATAAATAAATAATTGGGAAAATTGGATCATATAGACCTAGCAATAAAAATAAAATAAAAAGATCGAACGCTTAAGAATGGGTTTTAACAGTCGCAATTAAACGACAGTGGCGAAACATCCATTCGAATCAACGGTCTCGAACAGTTATTCAATTACTTATATTTTTATTTTTTGAATATATAAAAAAAAAATTGAAAAATAAATAAAAAATAAGATTAATGATGCCATAAAGGAACTCACTTTTCTTTTACAATTTTTTTTCTTTTTTATGTTCACTTTTATTATTATTATTATTCAGAGCTTTTAATTTCTGCTTTCTTCATGTAATGATGATTCAAGTCATCATGTTAAAAAGCTGTGTGCAGTTCGAACTGAAAAAATTGACAGTAATAAATCTTCCTTTTTTACTTCAATTCCTGTTTTACATTTCTTACCCTTTCTGGTTTCTGCATCAGCCTGTTAGTTAAAACTTTTTACCACCTCTTTTTACCCACTTGGTACAGCAGCTTAATTAACACATAATAGTTTATGCAGTAATTGGAAAAAACAAAAGGCAAAAATTGAAGAGTAAATTACGAAAAAGCCCATCATGTCAACGACCCTTTCAACATTGAATCTTCTTACACGTCCAACCTTATATTGTCAAATTCAACAGAATCTTTTAAATTTTCTAAATTTAGTTGAATGTTATCTAGTTTGTACTCGTTTTGAGCAAAAATGCAGTTTTTGATGCACCACAATCTGATATTTACAAGCAAAAAACACATCTTATGACAACCTTGTTTAAAATACGGAGGTCGAATGGGGTAAAACATAACAAGCTCGAGAAAATTCCACGTAATCTTGAAGATTTCACTAAATTTACCATCGCAAAAATGAACGTGTAAGAAAATTCATAGTTGAGCAGTAGTTGTAATATTAGTATATTACGCAAACATGAGGTAATTTTTTGTAAATTCACCTTACCTCAAGGGGTCACAGTAATTTACACTAATTAAAAATTTACAATATAGTAGAAAATCTGCTAATTTCCATTATATTAATTATAGCAAAAAGTAAAAAATAGTTAATACTATAACACTGTTGTTTGTGATTACAGCACACAACTAAAGAAAGAGAGAGTACAAATAATAATGAAAAAAGAGAGATACTATTACTACCCCACTCTCTGTCCTTTCTACTACACATTCACTATGTGCTGCTGTAATAATAACTAATATAGTATTTCTTGATGATGATCAAATATTAATTCATTACATATCTTTTTCTGTTTTTCTCCTATGATTTTCAGCCATACAGCTTACTATATCACTTTTTTTCTTACTTCCCCTTTGTATATGCTACACATTTTCTGCACCAGCCAATAAAAACAAAATTAATTAATTAAATTAACTACTAATTTATATATAATATGTCATAAGTATTTTATTTTTAAATTAAAAGAATATTGCTTCTTACCAAGCTAAAGTTAATTTTGCTGTCTGCTAGCCATGGTGAGTTGCTACATTTCAATGGCTTCTTGCCCTGAAGAAAACCTGAACAATTTCAAATTACATTAATTATAACATGAGTTCTTGAAAAACGTAACCGAGAAAAAAAAAATAGAGATAGAACTTATATATATATATATATATATATATATATATATATATATATATATATACCGAGGTAATTGCAAGTAACACGATTTGAGAGAAGCGATGGTGAGTGGAGAACTGTTCGACAGAAGAGGAGTTTCGTTAGAGGATGTAGTACTATTATCAGCTGCTGGTTTCGATGGAGAAGCAAATAGATTCTCGGGGAGGCTGTGCTCCAACCTGATTTCATTCGAATGGATAATCGTTGAGTAAAACTATATTTAGTTTAAAAAAAAAGAACTTTCAAAGAAAATACTAAAGAAAAGTTACGTTACCTTTCATGGGTATCGGAGTCATCGGCGTTAATATCGTTAGTGTTAGATTCACTACTTTCCAGCCCCGACTTCTCATCGCCTCGTTTTTCACCGTTATCAAATTCTGGTTTAACAAAAAAAATGAAATGGATTTAGGACAACGTATTATTTCTTATCTGTAATAAAAAGGAGACGCTAAGAACTAATTGGAACCTTCCGGATGTTCTTGATTGATGGAATCGGAGGACGTCGTGACATTTTGATTGATCAGAAACTGAGACTGTGTGGGGGAGGACGAAAACGGGATGCCAGCTGGGAATCTTCGAGGATAATTATGATAACCGAGATTATCATTATTTTTCAAGTCCATTAGTTGTAAATTCATCATTCTTCGGCCTTGAAGTTCGATGGCATGCTGCAATTCTGCCTCTTGCTCCAATTTTCTCCTCAGCATCATTTCTTGCGGGCTCATCAACATTCTAGATCCTTCCGGATGGGAAAAAACGAAAACAAGGCGGTTTTAGCTAATAATTAAATTCAACTATTCACTAATGATAAAAAGTAAATCTTTACCAAACGAGAGATCAAAGTTTTCTCCAGAAGGGCTTAAACAAGCCGAATACTCTCCCCTCTCCGATTGTTGATGATGGTGTTGTCTCCTACAAAATGTTCCGATAAAAAAAAAAAAAAATAACCCATCTAAACAAAGATATAATATGGTAAGAGAAGTACTTGTCGCGGACTTTTCCTTTCTCTTTGTACGGTTTGACGAGCACACGAGAATCGCACACAAAATGAGGGTTCCCTTTTGCTAAAATGGCCTTAACTGTCTCGGCGTAGACAAACGTCACAAACCCAAACATTCTTTTCTGCTGATATGGTATTCTAACATCTTGAACTGGTCCAAACATGCTACAAAAAAAAAAAAAACCAATGCAACATCACCTTAATTAAATTAGCAGCATTTTCAAGAACAGATTTTTTTTTCTTTTTCTTGAATTAACTAATGAATTAATCGTACCCAAAGTAATTAGAAACATCTTCTTCCTTGAACGTACTGTCTGCAGGAAACGTCAAGTAAATTTGACGGGCGCTCGAGCTCGAAGCACCGAATCCCATCAGTGACGAATAGTCGTTCCTGTTGAATCGAAAACCTATTAAACTAATGATCAAGTCTAATTTTTCTGCTCTTTGTTTTTCGAATACATCAACTACCTCAATTCATCATATCTGAAATAACAGGTGATCTAGAATTAAATTTAATTTGTTAATTTAAAATGTGTTTCAATTCACTAATTAATCATAGCATCTATCAGAAATGAAGAAAAAGATCAAATCTTGAAATAGCTGAAAACTTTTTGACATGTAATAAAAAGAAGTATGTTTAATTTTTCAAGTGAAGTGAATTAATTACCTGGGATTTTCGTTAAGAGAATCCATGCACTTGTTGTAAGCAAAAGGATGGTGACCACCACCACCGCCGGCGGCGGCCGCCGCCGCCATGACCGCAAACCTCTGCTGCTGGAGAGCTTTCATCCTCAACAATTCATCAAACCCAGAAGCACCATTGTTGCTCGGAGACCCTAGTTCAATCGGTTCGTCGCCGTGGTGCAAGAACTTGCAATTACCGCCATTCTTGCAGAAACCCTTGGCAAAGTACATGCAAGGCCGCCACCCAAACCCTCCGCCGCCGCCGCCGTCTTCGAGAAATGCAGCATCGTTCACCGAACAGCTCCTCCGGTGAAACGGGTTGTGGTGGGGTGAATGAACGCCGCCGCCGCCCATATCCTCACCGTAACCGAAACCCATGGAATCATTCATCACCGGATCCAACCCCTGGTCGTCGTCAAGAAACGGCAGCTGGTCCACCTCGAAATCATCGCCGCCGTAGAAATGCAAACCCGACGGCGAACCCGAAACAACAACAGGCCTGCTGCTGCAGGCTGCCGTCCGGCTCCTCTGAAACACAGCCCCTCCGGCGGGCGAAGACGGGTTGCTCATATGGAAACCGCCATTGTTGGGTATCACAATCGATCTCGGCGAAATCTGCGGGAACGGGTTGTTCGGCCGGACGGAGTACGAGAGAGGAGCCGGCGGGGGGTTCGAACCGTTGGAATGGAGACCCAACCGGGTCTGGGCTTGCTTGATGTAGGAGAGCAAAACGGGTTCGGGGCAAAAAGCTAAACGGATAATCTCCTTCTCACCTTGGTCCTGTATCAGTATATAACCCATGATTCTCGACGCGTTTTCCGGCTCCAAGCTCTGGATTCTCGACATAACTATGTTCGTTGCCTCGTATGTATCCATGGTGAAAAAAAAAAGAAGAAGAAGAAGAAAGATAAGATTTTTACTGAGAGAGTGTAGTAAAAAAATCCCAGAAAGATTTCAACTTGGACTAGGGATTTCTCATTTTTGCAGAGAGAGAGAGAGGAGAGAGAAACAAAATGCTAGAGAGAGAGAGGGTCTTGAGGAGTTGGTGGAAGAGTAGTACAAAAGAACAGTATGAATCTTTTTTTAGAGAGAGAAAAAAGGAAGACTGATGATTATCCAGATTGGGATAATCATGTTATATTATATGTGGGTAATTAATTAATTAATTAATTAAACCAATCCTTTTTATATGATCAAGAACTAATTTTTTTTGGGGTTGTTTTTTTTAATTTAATTTGGGGATTTTCTTCTCTCTCTCTCTTTCTCTCTCTACTTAAGAGTGATGTGACATGAGAGCAGCAGCTTCATTTTTTTTGCAGGGAGTGGTCAAAGTTAGGGGTTGAAGAAGACGAAGAAGCAGAAAATTGTGGGGTCGGTTTTTTAATTATAATATTGTTATTCTCAAATCTAGTCAATTCTGCTTCTATTTTCCCTATTTTTCCTATTTTTTACAGAATTATTTTTTTATTATAAAAGTTTCTATATTTCTCTAAATTTAATTGAGATAAATATTTCTTATTTTCCATGTCATTATTATTATTACATAGTTTATATTATATCAGGAGAACCTTGATAAATTAATAACCTCGTCTAACTATAAAAAATTTACGATCCCAACTTGAGATCATGGTAGTTAATCTCGCGATATACCGCGATATATATCGCGATACGGTATGGTTCCAATCAAAACGATACAACTCGGGTTATGTATCGCTTATTGATAAATACCGTTAAATATCGCGAGATATCGTATCGTATCGTTGTATCACGATACGATACGATATTTACGATATTTAAAAAAATGAAAAAAACGAAGAAAAAAAAACAAGAAATGCAGTCAACTGCTCTGAAAAACGGTTTAGAATAGATTTATTTAATATCCCAACCCTAATTCACACTTTTCTCTTCATTTTCTTCACCAATCCTCACAATATTACAACCCTAATTCAATTGCTATAGATTCTTGCGATTCAAGACCAATTCGAGGCGTTTTTTTGCTGGATTTTGCGATTGATGATGATGAATGCAATCTTTAAAATTGGTAGATGAGGAGTGACACTGATATTCAAAATTATGGGATATCGAATATTTTAGAAATTAGGTATTCGGATTTGAACTTAGGGAGAATTTGGCTAAGCTTATTTACATCTGATCAGCTGTTTTAAGAGCTGATAAGTTGTTACGTCTTACTTTTAAAATTATTTTTTTCAAGTGTTGGGATAGTGATCTTACAAGCTATTTTACTCATTATAAGATCTTAAATAAATAGGTGGGGTAAAGGTATTTAAAAAAAAAAAAAAAAAATCTTATTTGCGCTCCAGTAGCATATAATATTTTGATTTTTTAAGATTTTTTGAAAAAAAATAACCTAACACACTGGAATAGCTCTTAAACATCTTATAAGCTCGTTTTAACATCTTATAAGCCTAGCCAAACACCCTCTTAGATGATGTTATTTGATGAACATATATGATTTTTGTCATATTTTATAGTATGATGTTGAAACTTGAATTTATACCTATTTTGAAATAAGTAGTTATATTAAATTTTACATATTTATAATATGTTTATAATGTAGATATATATTTTTTACTATTTTAATAGTTGGTTAAATATCTTACGATACGATACGATAACGATACGATACGAGACGTGGAGCAAAACGATACGAGATATTTTTACGATCCGATAACCATGCTTGAGATCAACGTGTTAAGAATTACTATATACAAATTATTATTTTGAAGAACAAAATTTTTCATTATATTTGAATTTTTTGGGAAAGAAATTTGAATTTATTTAAATTTGGTAATTTCGATCTGATTTAAGTGGGGGGTGGGGGGGTGAGAAATTGGAGCCACAAGTTTTGGTGGCACTCTGCAAAAACAACAGTCTTGGGGAGTGTAAAAAAAAAACTGGTGTTTCTCTCTCATCCTTTAACCAGGCTTTCTCTCTCTAAAATGAACCTCTCTCACACTCTTTTATCTACATTGCAATATGTTTCTCTGTATGTGTATCTATACATATACATATACATACATATATATATGTGGTTTTGTCTGTATAGAATCGGACAAAGCAAATGTGAGTGGGAGGGTGTGGATTCAGATCTGTTACAGGAAATGTCCGTGTGCCCACTGTCTATTTTCATTTCTCTTAATTCATTTAGGATCCGAATCCCACCTTTCGGGTCATGGATTGGGCCGGGTCAAATATTATTCATACTCAATTTTCTTTTTCATATAAATTAATTTACAAACACGACAACAAATTGACCTGAATCTGATTATTAGAATCACGTCTATTATCAAATGTTTTTTTCTCCATCAACTATATATTAAAATTAATAAAATAATTTTTTTTTTCTATTAGGTTCGGATGGGCCTGGCCCATTGCATGTAACTATCAACAAGATTTTAATTAGATTTCATATTACATCAAATATATTTAGTGCCCCGCCGGGCCTAAACAGTTGCAGCAAGCGAGCCCGTGTAAATAGACTCAACGATCGTTCGATTGAATTTGTTAAATATGGTTAGCCTAGTGTGGTTTACGTCTTTCTCGATATGAGAGTGATAGAACCTACACGATTGGCTGCGGGTTTAGTCGTTACGGAAAAAAATAGTTTGGTCCACTATAAAATAAAAGGTTTTATTAGGTGTCCAAACATCTGAGGGAAAAAAACAGATACCAAATGTTGAGTATTCTGTTTACCAGATATTTTTTCTCAGTCAGTAATAAATAAATTATATTATATACACAAAAAAACAAGCATCTTCAAAAACTGGAAATTAAATAAATAAAAGTGGGCTCAACAAGAAAAATCTCAGGGTTCCAATGCATAGTAAGTGACATTTTTTAAATAATAAAAGTGCCCATAACTAAGTAAAAAACAACAGATATATTATTATTAAGAATCCCAATACAGTTTTTTATGTAAGAAAAAAAAAATTAAATATTAGTCAAAGAAGCAGTAAAATCAAGGGTTTTAATGTCTGTTAATCTTCCCAAGAATGTCTTCAATTGCCCATGACACTAGAATTTAAGTTTCACCATTTTCCAAACTAATATATTGGACCCTTTCATCCACACCCCCAACACCCACACACACACACACACATATATACATATACAAATACATACACGCACACATACACACACAATGGAGGGCACTTTTACAAGAGAAAGTGGTATCTTTAAGTCATTTAGAGCTCACTTTTTTCAGAGAGTGTAGAGACCCATGAT